AGACTTCTTTAGAGATGAGAAGTAAAATGGTGAAGTGAGACTTGAGCCCAGTGAGGACAAGTACTTCAACACACTTATTATGCACTCTGACTTCAAATGCCTGAAAGGAACTTGCTCAAGGGAAGTAAATTTGACTACTGGTGCAGGGATTGTTGTGAATGGTTCTTTGAGACTATTATCCCTGCGCTCAGCTGTGGTTAAAGAAAAGTGCATGAGAGCATGGAACACCTATGACATACAGGCAATTCAACAAAAGAAAGGGGTATTTTTTTGTTGATGTTGTTCTATTTAATTGGGTCTTGGTTTTGTTCACCACTATCCCAACACCTCCCACCCCCAATATTCCCCATGTATGAAATTTACTGTAACAGGAAGTTGCAGGACCCAAAACTACCATTAGGTTCACAAAGGGTTAGACAACCTCCTGGAGGATCTGCTGGTTCTGTACCAAATGTGTGCATCTAGATTTAGCTACCACTTGGAAGTCCTTTGACATCTGACTTTTGAAAGCTGGTAAAACATGCTAGGAAACATTCACTCTTTTCATGGCTTAAGTTCTTTCTTACCCATTACCAAGTCCTGTGAGACATGATGTTGGACTACCCGGACTTTGGTACATTCTTGTGCTCCTGGGTGACCTATTTGTGTGAATCACTCCAGAGTTGTGTCCTGCAAGGAAGTCTGAAAGTGCCTACACACTTAGAAGGTGTACAGTGTACACAGCTCAGTGCTTTAGGTACTCAGATTAACTTTTCTGCTGGAGTCATCTGGATTATAGATCTGAAACCAACTTTTCTTCTGTCTGGCTCATCAATACAGCTGTTCTTCCCACAATAAGGTGTCCTGACATCAATTGTTAAAGTACATTGACTGCAAACGAGGGCTGGTGGTGTGGACACTTACATTAGCTCAGCCTGGGACTAGTTCAGCTGCAGTGGACTTTGTGTGAGTTGACTCCTGTTCCTTACTGGTGGGAATGTATTGCATAGCTACCCTTATCCCTGTGGTTCGTATTGTCCTTTGTGTCTTCTGACATTCTTGACTCAGCTTTTTCCACATACTCTTCCAAACTGATACCAGAATAATAACTAATACTGCCTGAAAGACCTGTGTTATTAACTCTCCTGCCAATACTTAAGCAGCTGTTTGAAGATGGATATTTCTTTGAACTGTTGAGGGAGTCTATAACTACAATGAACAGGTCTGGCAAAGCACTGAGTCTGGCAAAAAGAGAGTCTGCCAGCCTTACGGTAAGAAGTTCAGGAGACAGGAGTTAGAAAGAAAACTGTCTAGAAAATAAGTTAATATTCCTGTTTTCTTACATACAAATAGCATTATTATATTATCAAATCTTAGAATGTTTTTAGAAGCTATCCCATGAGTCAAAAACTACTTTAATCCACAGATACATCTCCAGAGACAGTAAAAGAAACAGCATCTGTCATCTAAACTGCCTTTCTGATGACAAGCGAATAATCACAGCTACTAAAAAAACAGAATTTTTCTTGTGCACATATAACTTGAGTGTATCTTGATGGTCTCCCACAGACACCAGAAAAGACTACTGAGACCGTTTTGGTTTCTGTGTTTCCTGTTTTCTTCCACACTGTGGAGCTGCCTTGAATGGTTTGAGTCTGTGAGGAGCTGCTGCAGCCCCACCATCCACAGTTTTTCTTTCTGAATGCTCAATCACAATCTGGCACAATGGTTGTTTTTTCTTTGTTTTGGCACATTGATTGTATTTTACTTTCCTTCAAAGTCTGTATGCTGCTGATGGTTTTGACCAGAGCAAATGAGGCTGGCTGAGCCTTAAATTTGCTGATCTAAGAATAAACTTGTTCAAAGAAACCATTTACTACCTTCTAGTGTCTGTGGATCATGAGTCCTTCTAACTGTACTTGCTGGGAAGGGGGGAAATAGCCAAGGAACTTCCAGAAGTTGAGGGGCAGTTGAGAGAGAATGGAAGCTCTGCTCCTTTCAGCTGACAGCGATTCCTCGAGGAGGGAAACATGATGGAGGAGGTGAATTTAATCCTTCTTGAAAAATGTCTGTTGTGTTCTTCTATGTCACATAACATGGGAATAAAACCTGTTGGAAGAAGAAAAAGCAAGTAATAAACAACCATGGCCAGAAACATGAAACCTTTGAAAGTCAAGGCCCTATTCTGCAAGAAAAACAAGGCAGGCTCACATGCAGAGCCCTAACCTGCTTCATTGCTTGTTTATCTGTTCCCTGTTGCTCTAGTATCTGAACAGAAAATGCCCTATTCTTTAAATATCATGACACTTGTCATTGCACTGCTACAGGCTTGGGGAAGAGTGGCTGGAAAGCTGCCCAGCAGAGAAAGATCTGGGGGTGTTGGTTGACAGTGGCTGAATATGAGCCAGCAGTGTGCCCAGGTGGCCAAGAAGGGCAACACCATCTGGTTTGTATCAGCAATAGCATGGCCAGCAGGAGTAGGGAAGTGATTGTCCCCCTGTACTCAGCTCTGGTGAGGCTGCACTTGGAGTACTGTGTCCTGTTTTGGGTCTCCCACTACAACAAAGGCACTGAGGTGCTGGAGTGAGTCCAGAGAAGGGCAGTGAAGCTCGTGACGGGTCTGGAGAACAAGTCTTATGAGGAGTGTCTGAGGGAACTGCAGTTGTTTAGTCTGGAGCAAAGTAGGTTTACAGTAGACCTTATTGCTCTCCTGAAAGGAGGTTATAGCAAGGTGGGAGTTGGTCTCTTCTCCCAAGTAACAAGCAATAGGACAAGAGGAAATAGACTCCAGTTGTGCCAGGGGAGGTTTAGAGTGGATATTAGAAGAAGCTGCCCAGGGAGGTGGTTGAATCTCTATCCCTAAAGGTGTTTCAACGTTAGATAGGTGTGGTGCTTAGTAATATGGTTTAACACTGGACTAGGTGATCTTTAAGGTCTTTTCCAACCAAAACAATTCCAAGATTCTATTATTTAATCTATGTGAAGCCAAAGAGAAGTTGTCTGCTGAAGGTACTACTTTTGGTAGTAGTGCTACTACTAGTCTTCTTTGTTTGTGTGTGTGTTTTTGTTTTTATTTTTTAAAAATGAAAGCACATTACAGTAAATTATGAAATGGGTCACTGAGGTAGCTGTGGCACTTATGTAAAAGCCAGTTTGTAGAAGACAGCAAGGGGATCAGGTCCAGCCAACATGGGTTTAGGAAAGAAAGGTCCTGCCTAACCAATCTCATCTCCTCTATGACTGGGTGACCTGCCTAGTAGATAAGGGGAAGGCTGTGGACCTGGTCTACTTCTGCTTCAGCAAGGCCTTTGACACAGTCTCCCACAGCATCCTCCTGGAAAAGCTGGCAATCCATGGCTTTGGCAGGTGCACCCTTTTCTGGGTCAAAAACTGTTTGGAAGACTGGGCTCAGAGAGTGATGCTGAATGAAGCTGCATCCAAATGGCATCCAGTGACCAGTGGTGTTCCCCAGGGATCAGTACTGGGCCCAGTCCTATTCAGCATCTTTGTTGACGACCTGGATGTGGGGATTGAGTCCACCCTCAGTAAGTTCGCAGATGACACCAAGCTCGGGGGGAGTGTTGGTCTGCCAGAGGGTAGGAAGGGGCTGCAGGAGGACCTGGACAGGATGAGTCGATGGGCCAAGGCCAGTGGGATGAGGTTCAACAAGACCAAGTGCAGGGTCCTGCACTTGGAAGAGTGGCTGGAGAGCAGCCCAGCAGAGAGGGACCTGGGGGTGCTGGGGGACAACCAGTTAAATGTGAGCCAGCAGCGTGCCCAGGTGGCCCAGAAGGTCAATGGCATCCTGGCTGGTATCAGGAACAGTGTGGCCAGCAGGAGTAGGGATATAATTCTCCCCCTGTACTCAGCACTGGTGAGGCCTCACCTTGAATACTGACACAGTTCTGGGCCCCTCACTTCAAGAAGGATACTGAGGTGCTGGATCAGGTCCAGAGGAGAGGAACGAGGCTGGTGAAGGGACTAGAGGGAAAATCTTACAGGTATAGGCTGAGGGAGCTGGAGTTGTTTAGCCTGGAGAAGAGGAAACTCAGGGGGGACTTTGTCACTCTCTTCAACTATCTGAAGGGAAGTTGTACTCAGGTGGGGGCTGGGCTGTTTTTCCAGGCAACAAGACAAAAGGGGATGGCCTTAAGCCGTGGTTTAGGTTGGATATTAGGAAGTACTTCTTCACGGAGAGGGCGATTAGACATTGGAATGGACTTCCCAGGGAAGTGGTGGAGGCACCGTCCCTGGATGTGTTCAAGGACAGGCTGGATGTGGCACTTAGTGCCATGGTCTGGCTGATGTGGTGGTGTTGGTCACAGGCTGGACTTGATGATCTTAAAGGTCTTTTCCAGCCTTGGTGATTCTGTGATTCTGTGACCTGCATCAACTACCTGTCTGGTGCTCAATTTTGCTTTCTTCTTCTCTGTCACTTCTTCCAGTTGAAGGATCTATCAGTTAGAGAGCAGCAGGAGTGAGACAGACTGGGAGAGCCCCCAGATGTGGATAGATGTAGCACAGCTGCATAGAGGAGCTTTTTCTCCATAAACAGGTGCTCAACTTCTGTGGATGAGACAAGTTAAGGTGACAAAAGCACTCCCCTGTTTGGCACCTGAATTTGGATGCTTGCCAGCAGACCATTGCTACTGAGAGTGTCTGCCATGCTCCAAGTAGCTGTGCTGGCAGACTGGGAAGTAAGTTGTGCTCCCTTCTCTGGAAGAGCTGTCTCAGGGAACAGGGTGAGGTATAAGAGGTTTCACTAGACAGGTAATCACAGTGAGGCATCTCTTCCAAAGCAGCTACATGGTGGAACAGCCTAAATCCCATTAATTTGCACTTGTTACAAGACTGCTTTCTAATCTTTTGCATTGAACTTCTTGTTGCTTTGGAAACTTATGGTGAAATCTGAACAGGATGTAATTGCTCTGGTTCATTTTATTAATCCTGAAACCAGCTGTATTTTCAGTGTTGTCTACTCCAATTGCATGGATATAATGTTTTTCTCTTTTATTTTGAAGGTAAGGAATGAAGAAGACTTTATTAAGAAACTGGACTGCAGTCCTGACCAGCATCTAAAGGTAGTGTCCATCTTTGGGAACACGGGGGATGGCAAGTCTCACACCCTTAATCACACTTTCTTCTATGGCCGGGAAGTCTTCAAGACGTCTCCAGCCCAAGAATCTTGCACAGTTGGAGTCTGGGCAGCCTATGACCCTGTCCGCAAAGTGGTGGTAATTGATACAGAGGGCCTACTGGGGGCCACTGTGAACTTGAGCCAGAGAACGCGGCTGCTGCTGAAGGTCCTGGCCATCTCTGATCTTGTCATCTACCGTACTCGTGCTGACAGGCTCCACAATGACCTCTTCAAATTCCTTGGTGATGCCTCGGAGGCTTATTTAAAACATTTCACCAAGGAGCTAAAAGCTACCACAGCCCGCTGTGGCCTAGATGTTCCTCTGTCAACTTTGGGTCCAGGTGTCATCATCTTTCACGAGACTGTGTACACCAAGCTACTGGGCTCTGGTGAGTAGGCAGTAAGATCCTGAATTACAATGTGCTAAATGTTATCTATAAATTATCAGGTTGCACTGAATATTCAACATTCTTTAATACTATGCAGAAGATGTGGTTTGGGTTTTGCTCTCACTTGTTCCAGTCTGGGGGCCAGGCTTTGGAAAAAGTGGAGCATTCCCTGATAGCAATCTGACTACCCCAGATCAGCTAGAATAATCCTCTTAGCCAGCTGGAAATCAGTACTGTCTAGTCATCATGGCAGTTCTGTCAGCTGTAGGAGAGGTCATTGTGTAAGGTCATGAGTATGGGTGATATGGCAGGCAAAGGTGAAAACTGGGGTTTTGGCAGGGATATGCAGAATCCTGTTGTAAAAAAATAAAACTGTATGTAGGAACTAGAATGGGCAAGAATAATGAAATTGAACTTCAGTACTCACACTGCCCTCATTCTGCTATTTTAACTTACCATACCAGTGTCATTCTGAGGCTGATGTGAGATTGGGACAGAGGGTGTGGTGGTACAGAGCTGATGGTTTAACAGAACTTTTCTGTGTGCAAGTGTCTGATAGGGCCAAAGCAGAAGGCCTGGCATGCTATTATTCCCATTGCTTTCAGTGTTCTTCATCAATACTTTCAACTTAAGTACTTGATTGTGCATAACTGAATGGTGTGCTTCATTTGTAAGACTGAGTGAAATGCTCTGTCCTACAGGAGCTAGGGCATGTTTTGGTTTTGACTATGCAGGGGTGTAAATTTCTTCCCTGGCCTCATTTTTTTCCATGTTTCAAAAGGCATGATGAAACCTTTCTTCATTCTGTCCATTTCTGATGCTTTGATGAGCAGGAGCCCTAATGAATTGGCCTGCAGTAACTGAGGCTGAGTTCTGCTCTCTGTGAACATCCGGGAGTCTTCTGCCATGGAATACCACAGCAGCTCCCTGCTGGCCCACATTCACATTTTGGCTTTCCTATCCAGTGAGGTCTTGAGCTAGTAGAAGAACTTGGCATTTTTCTGGTTATTAGTAGAGTGCCTCCTTAAATACTTCTAACTTAACCTGCCAAGGCAGTTCCTTTTCTTACATACCAATATGCTGATCAGCAATTTAGAGTTTCATATGGTTGTTGAAACTTGCTGTTTCAGCAGGTTGGATTTAGTGACCCATAATGATAGTTGCACCAGTATGCAAAGTCAGGATAGTAAAAAAAAAATATTTTTCTATGGTCACTTCTGATCACAGTAGGAATAGGAAAGAAAGCTCTTAGCAGGGGGATTCGCAGCAAGCTGTAAACATCTGTCTTGATGGATAATTGAGATAAGTGTGTTGGAGGGGCTTGCCTTATTCTGAAACATGCAGCAGGTACTTGGAAGCAGGCAGAATGTGGTCAGCTCCATGGAGTGTGACCTGATGTGCCCAGTTCTGAAGGGCTTTACCGCATAGAAAGGCTCGATAGGGGCTTAGTCTTCCTTGCTATAGGGTTGGCATGAAGAGTAAGCAGCCCATCTAAGGTTCATGTCCTCCACTTGTCAGGTGCTATAACTAGCTATAGCAAGTTATGGTCTGCTGAGAAGAGCTAACAGGTGTGCTGACATGGAGTTTCCTCATATTGCTTCTTATTCTAGGTGTCTGTGTTTCCAAACCTAAGCGTTTCTGGTTTTACCTGTGGAACTTGGTCTCAGAATCTAAAGCTGTGTATCAAAAAACAGAGACAGCTTTTGGAAACAGTTTGTTTCTTTTCCTACTTGTAACCTATACGTGCATTCCAGATGTATTAGAAGGTTTAATGCAAAAAAAACCCTAGCACTGTGTTGCATATGAAAGCACTGTGCAATTTAAATATTGTTTTAAACCATCAGTTGTTTATATACTTGCTGATACTCTTATATACAGATCATCCTTCTGAGGTTCCTGAGAAGCTCATTCAGGACCGGTTTCGGAAGCTAAGCTGTTTTCCTGAGGCTTTCAGCTCAATCCACTACAAGGGAACAAGGACATACAATCCTCCAACAGATTTCTCTGGACTTAGGCGAGCTGTGGAGCAGCAGCTGGAGAACAATACCACTCGATCACCTAGACAGCCTGGGGTTATCTATAAAGCACTAAAAGTAAGTGGAGATAAGTTCTTCACAATCTTTATTGGTATTGCTGTTGCTGGTGACTGTCAGTTGCAGCTAATAAAGGCAGAGCATGTGAACCAGTGATGCAGGCTTGCAGATATCTGAAGATAAAGCAAGTCTTCTAGGAAGATGATAATTTTTGTGTAACAGCAGGTAGGCTGGGTAGGTTTGGGTTTTTTTTTTCTTTAAAATAAACACCCTAGCAAAGACCCTGAGAGGTCTGGAAAAGCTGAAGAGCAAAACAAAGCAAAATCAAAAAACTGAGCTGGGAATAAAAAAATTGCTGATATGAGTGACAAGCACTTACTGACAGTAATTTACAAACAGGAGGCCCAGAAGGAGTTACTGGTGAAATTCTAAGGATGGCCTCAGAACAACAGGAGGGAATGCAAGATACTTGGAGTAGGATAGTAGCTGGCAAAACCTAGTGCTGAGTGTAGAGTAACCCAAGGGCTAGGAGGCAAAAAGGGGGAAGGAGATGTGTTGGTAGCTGGTGAACAAGATGGAATCAAGCCAAATGATGTGTCATTTCAGAGGTGCAGCATTAGATCAGAAGGCTGATGAAAAGGAATTGGGAGAGCCACTGGTGATTTTTGTAGAAGGTTCACCTTGCTAGGATGTCAGAGGGATGTTTGGGTCTTCACGTTTGCAATCTGTCCTACAAGTTTTCATGCATTGCTACCACTGCATGATTAGCATAATATTTTCATTGGCCTGAAGAGCACAGCTGTCATCAGGGAGGGGCTGGCAGAGCTGGGGCATATCTGCAGAAGAAGGTAGTGTTAACAGTCTTTCCTGATGGTAGTCACAGCTGTTGGAACAGATAATTCCAGTTTCTCTGTATTTTGGGGTAGCTGAGGCACAGAAGTAAATGTCAGGATGGCATATACACGGCTCCTTCCATTAGGGAACAGACAGGCAGCAGGGAGAAAACAGCTGGAGTGGTTAGTTCCAGTTTAATTTCTAGGACTTTATTGCAATAATCAAGTAATTCCGTTTCAGATACAGTTGCTAGTGTACTTAAATTCGTGTCCAGTAAAGTGGTTGCTGTATTCAGATCACTACTTAACTACAAATTCAGATTTTTTCTTCACTTCCTGAGGACGCAGGCATGCTAGAGATCTATGTCCATTTCCTCTAGTTTTTTAATCCATTGGCCAGTATCAGTCAAGCTTGAAAGAGATCTTAAAGATAATTTCCTTGAAATTCTGTAAAATCAGATGTCTATGTAGGGATTTTGCCTGGGAGAAGCTGTGGTGGGAGATACATGTGTATCTCGTGTGTATATGCAGTCAAGCCTTGTTAGACAGCAGAGATGCTCCCCCACTCCCTGGGAGGGGAGAAGGAGGAAGAGAAAGACAGGCAACCACTGTAGTTGCCTCAGCTGTGGGAAGAGTTTCAGTTAGATCTTATGCCTTCAAAGATCTCCGTCAAGAAAAAAACTAACCCTCGGCTTTGCTTTTTAAATTTTATTTTTTACATAACACCCAAAAGAATGGAGAGGTTAAGTGTGCCACAGCTAAAGACTGACCTATTCTCAGAACAGATGCTCCCAGGAAAGGGAACAAATCCCTTTGTTCTCAGTCTTACAGTTTCACCAGAGAAGAGCAATTGTTCAAGGGGCCAGAGGAAAGCTCAGGGCAGCACTTCCTGAGCTGAGGGGCAAAGACTGTGTCCATATATACTGTGAGAAATGATTCTTGAGTTTTCTTCTGGAGGTTTCCAGAATGCAAAGCCGTTTCAGCAAGCACCCTACTATTTTGGGCATGGGTTGTATGCAGAAGTGGACACAATCATCTACTAGCCATTTCAGCTATAAAATTCAAGGGCAGGAGGAGAGGAGAAGAGTAAGTATCTTACAAGCACTCAAGTCACTTCCATAAAAGTGCATGGTTGTTTTCTGGCTTGGTTTCTACTCCTTGCTGTGGTTTTCAGGTTAGTAACATATTATTCCTTAGCTGTGTACTCTCTCTGCCTCTGCCAGTAGAGGAACCAATGCTTTTGCTTGCAAAAGCTTTCATAAAATGTCTGCATTGCTCTCAGTCCCTTATCAATTCCCTCTTTTCTGTTTGACAGGCTCTAAGTGACAGGTTCAGTGGGGAAATCCCCGATGACCAGATGGCTCACAGCTCTTTCTTTCCAGATGAATACTTCACATGCTCTTCTGTGTGCCTCAGCTGTGGGTAAGTAGATGAGAAATCACCTTCATCCTTCTAGAAGAAAGCATTGCCCAGGTCTGCAGCCATAGAACATAAAGTTTATGTGACATCTTGACACCTGACATCACCTGTCATTAGCTAGTACTTCCAGACAGGATTTGCTTGAAATTCAACTCTTATGTGATTTGGACAGCTGTTATTTCTGTGTCCCAGCTGGATGCGTGTTTTTTGCCTACTCTGTTTTTGTTTATGGCTACAAACATGCTCTGCTCCTATCTTTTCCCCAATACATACAGGGCAGGGAGAAAGGAATGTTTAAAGAAATCCCCTAAATGACTATTAATATTTTTCATACCATTTTTATTACCTAAACAGTATAAACAAACTTAAAGCATGCGTCATCATGGGCCTGAGCTGCGTTTAGTGACTAGATCTAAATGGAGCCCCCAGTTTGATCAGAGTTTGGCTTGTAGTTCTCTGAGAGGAACCCAGAAACTGAGCCTGATATGGCAATGTGTGACATTCAGTGTTGAGTCTGTGAGGTTCTATAGCAGTGTGATGTTATGGATGATTATGCTTCTGGAAACATTTTCTCTCAAATGTCATATAGTGCTACATTCCT